CGTTTTCCGGAGAAGATAGAATGTCATTCATGGATAACGGTGATATTTTCTTTTTTGACACAAAATACTTATATAAGTCCAAATTAGGAATATGGTTAATAGGGCACTCGAAAAATATGTGATTCAGGTTTTCTATCATGCCGCATTCACATGCAGGGTCATCTTTTATATTGATTTTGAAGAGATGGGCATTAGTCAGGCAATGACCTGTACGCATTCTAATTATAGTTGTGATGTGTCTTCTATCTTTATAATTTAAATTGCCATACCATGTCTTATTGGTGAAAGTTGATTGAACTCTAGCATACCCACGATGTTTGGTTGAGACTAAGATTCTCCATTTATCTTTAAAAATGTTTATAATATCCTGTTTTAAGAAATTTGAAATATCTTTTATGTCATAAACCATTTTTCTGGGAATATTAAGATCTGTTCCAATTTTGGCCAAAGTATCTGCCTCTGAATTCCCAGGTATACCTGAGTGACCCGGTATCCAGGATAATTGGATATTATAACCATTCATGTTAGATGAAGCAATTAGCCTTTTTGTCGTAAGAACCCAGTATTCAGAATTTGTTGCAAAAGAAGGATTACAGAGTTTTGTTATAGCCCCCTGTGAATCTGAGAAAATTATCACATTTTTAATTTTTTTATTAATGGCAGTTTTTACTGCATCATGTATGGCAATTATTTCTGCTTTGTAAATACTTAGATGATTGGGAAGACGTGACGAAAATTTATAGTTTAGGGATGGAATGAATATACCAAAACCCACTCTGTTGTCCCTTTTTGACGCATCAGAAAAAATGAAAGTATATTGAGATTTTAGACTATTAGTTTCGACTTCAAAATTAAATCTTGACATGATGTCTCCTTTTTTGCAATTACAGTTAACAGGTTTTAAAGGTTTATTGAGTATATGAAAATCAATTTCGTAACAGGGAAAATTTGAACCTCTATATATTAACTTTAAATAAGGCCTATAGTGCTGAAGTGCTTCCACTAGGTATGGTATTTTGTCCTTATTCCAAAACTCTGGTCTATGGATTATTTTTAATAGAAAGTCGTTGATAAATTGAATAGAGGGATGATTTGTTACAACTAAGAATTTTGAAATTAATTTAAGGGCCAGTAGTTTTCTTCTATGTTCCAGATCTAATATAGATGCTTCAGCCAAAAGTGCAACCCTGGGTGTGGAACGCATACATCCCATACATATACGTAATCCCTCATAAAACACCACATCCAATTTACTGAGAGCGGCCTTAGAACATGGTCTAAGAAACATTGATCCAAAATCAAGATGTGATTGTACTAGAGCAGAAAAGGCTATCAAAAGTGTGTTTGGATCTGCACCCCACCAAACCCTACACAGTGCTCTTAATACATTTAATGATTTTTTTGCTTTATTTGTAATGTTATTAATGTGTGATGACCATTTCATGTTTTCTTGCAGTATAATACCCAAATATTTAACCTCCTTTTTAAATGCAATGATTACGTTATTAATATGTATGGGGGGTGGGATGGTATGTTTCCTCCCTCTAGTGAACCATACTGCCTCACATTTATCCATGGAAAGTGACAGGTTGTGTTCACGAAGGTGTGCATTTATGTGCTTTAAAGCATTATTGATATTATTTACCATGGTTGCTACACTTTTTCCTCTGATCATAACTGCCAAGTCATCAGCATACCCTATGATAGATGCTTCTCCCAAATTTAAATCAAAAATATCCCTTAAATAAATATTGAATAAAATAGTACTCAGAGGGGAGCCCTGTGGTATACCCGAGGTTGTTGCTACAGGACCCAGAAAGGAGCCGTCATTACCCCTACAATATAGTGATCGTTCTGTTAAAAGATTGAAAATTAGGTTACACATTCGGATAGGCACTTCTAAGTTTTTAAGTTTATTATAGAGTTTATATATGTCAACATTATCGTATGCAGCTTTTATGTCTAAAAAAATTACGATGACTGACTCAGAGGATTGAAATGCCAGGTTAATGTATGATGTGATGAATGTTATGTTGTCATATATACCTCTTCCTTTACGAAATCCAGTCTGATTATTTGAAAATTTTAAATTATGTTCCAATTGCCAGTCTAATCGATTCTTGATCATTATTTCTAGAATTTTGGCTCCAC